GACAAAAAATTTAACATAACCTCTTCACGTATGTGAAGTATTATGTATGTATTATCTTCAGAATTTAATCATCTTTCAGAAAAAAAATAGAAAGAAATTTTATGTTTCTTTTACGTTTAACACATTTTCTCACTTATGAAAAAAGGGGTGTGCGCATAATTATTTAGTGTACTTTACGAACTTTAAACATAAATAACTTTCTGTTTGTTCCTTCTTTTGTTTTTTAAATATCGAATGATAAAATTATGTACCTCATCGACTTCCATCGAAGACATACTATTCACCAGATTACTTTTCATTGTATATTCATTTCTGTCATGTGGTTGAAATATTCTCTGTTCGCTGCAAATGTTTTCAAACTTTGCAGTTTCAGTGCCTGTTTTCACCTGCAAGTATTTACTTTAGTTAAATAACACTGTGTCACAAACATAAAAGAATTAAAAAATCTCTTGTCGGATCTATTGGAGGTTGTAGATTTCAAAAAACTAAAATAAATGGTATAACATTTTTTGTGTTTTTAAACATTAAATAATATTTATTTAAATAAAATTTACCAGCATAGAATGAGCCTAAAATATTTTAAAACTCAGTATTATTAGTATTTCAAGTATTTCCAGTCTTGTGTCCCATGGATCCCCAAAGTATATAAAATTGTTGATAAGCTATTGCAAATAAAAAATTAATGTTATATCAGTGGTTAGAATTTGAAGATGTTGATAAAGGACCAGAAAATATAAGAAAACAAAATTTTTCAATAAAATGTAAAATTTAATGACTAGAAGCAAACGTCGTCTCCATTAAAAAAATTACTTTATATCGAAATTTTGAAACGAAAAAATGTTTTTTTTACTCTCAATTTTAAGGTGTTTCGGCAATTAAATATACCATTCTTTTTAGTCTTTTCAGACCTACAACCTCCAACAGTTCCGATAAGAAATGTTTTCTGTTATCATGCAGTGTTATTAATACATATATATTCATAAATAGAAACGAAAAAATATTAATATGAATAAAAATGTAAAAATCCCCTCGCTGGAGATTATATCAGTGTATAAGGCATTTTTTTAAATTTAAAACTCCCCTCTCTCAACTAAGTCATCAAAATTTGTTCTGTTGCTTGTAAAAAATACTTTGACAACCCTTCTCCCATCCTTGATGCGTTACTTAATTTATGAAATCCTAAATTCATTAATGAATCTTTAGATAGAAACTAATTCTATAAATCTAGAAAATAATTATAGAAAATAATTCTCGCATTTACCTTGGTTTTCCCTTTATTTCTCTCATGAGGTAAGTGAGACTTAATGTTTTGATCATCAAGCAGTGTATTATTGGTTTGCTCAAAAGCATCATCTTCAAATGGGCTAAATTAATAAACAAATTGAAGAAAATTAATTAACATGTCAATTTTTAAGAATGTTGTTCCACATATAATCTATAATATTATTTTATCACCTTTTATTATATCATTTATAAAATATTCTAATTTTAATTGCAAACGCTACTCAGCTTATGAGACTAGATTTTTTTAAGTTTTTTGAATCTACTGCGCATGCGTTTAGAGATAGCTCAAAAATTCTAATGGCATTGTATTGTTCAGAAAGTTTCCCATCGACCAGTAACTTTCCATTTTTTTCTGTTCAAATTTTACAATTTTTTTAATGATTTTTCAAAAAATTAAATTTTGACTTTGAAAAGTGAGAATGAAGAATGAAATTTTGTTTTTTTTATGACTACGATTTTGGTAATTGCAGTACATCAAAATACAAGAGTACGTGTTGTATCAAGAAAATCTGAAAAAATTGTTTCATCAGCATGACAGGAGTATAGGCTCAAAATTTGAATAAAAGAACGACGTTTGTTTAAGAAATTTTTCCAAAGAAAATCTAATCGTACAAAAAATTTTAGAAATAAGATTTTTATCTATAAATTTTAAAAAATGGGAAATAATTATTTGATAATTTTTTGCATTACATTTTTAAACAGTTAATCTGAAACTGCAAATTTTCATATAAAAACATTAAAATTGATTAATTTTTGTACAATTTATAAGCAATCAGAAAAAAATGTTATCTTAAATTTATAAAATTTATGAAGGTTTTTTTCGTTGAGTACAAAAATGTAAAAAAAATAAATAAAATGGAAAATGTCCGTTTGGCGTAATGTTTCTATGACATTCAATGTGTAACAAATTTTCTAAATAAATTGACGACACTTTAAGGTTAAATTTACTAAGAAGGATTTTTATGAAATGAAAATGAACGGGATGAGTCAAAGCATTAAAAAAATAACTTGAACTGAAATATCCAATATTTTTAATTTATAGTTCCATGACAAACACATAAATAAATATTTTTGAACACAATATTATATGTGAAATAAGGAGTGTTATTAGCTGCCATAATTTCCCCTAACATAAAAAAAATTTTGTGTTATGAATAGTGTCATTTATATAAAAGTAGGTTACAAATAATTGTCGAAAAATTTGACAATTAAAATCCTGCATTTACAACATTGAAAATAAAAGAAATAGATTATTTTCAAATTTACCTATTTTTGTAATTATCATTAAAAAAATGAAATTTGATTCATAAAAATCTTATAAAAACTATTTTTTGCAAAACGATATTGAAATGCAAAAATGAAAAGTACGTAGTATAAATGAGGATAATAAATTTTACAATTTACAAATAATTATAAAAAATAATTATTCACTACTTACTTTACTGTTTCTATAGAAGATAAAGTACGTTGAAACGTTTGAAACTCAGGAAATGTTATGGTGAAGCTCCTGTTACTTGTACGAGATTTTAAAATTATTTGATCATTAATATCTTCGTTTTTACCATCTACTAATATACTGGAATTTAAAAAATATAAAAAATTTAACATATTATAGGCTGATTCTATTTCAATTAATACACGGTGAACAGGTTCTAAATCACACTTCACATAATTTTCCTTGTTTTCTAGGACATATAAAAAGACATGTTCCTTTGCTTAAGCAAAAAGAAATTTCTTGCTTAGTCAAAGTCCATAATTATGCGCACACCCCTTTTTTCATAAGTGAGAAAATGCGTTAAACGTAAAAGATGAAAAACATAAAATTTCTTTGTATTTTTTTTCTGAAAGATGATTAAATTCTGAAGAAAATGACACCTACGTGAAGAGGTTATGTTAAATTTTTTGTCACATATTTGTAAGAAAATGTGAGATTTGCATGTTTTTCTCAATTCAATATCTCCAATTAAAAATAAACATTTTTTAATGTTCTTGGACTTATTTTTATGTTACTTAATGTAGAATTCAAATTTGTTACTGGTATTTGGATATATATTTTTTATTAAAAGGTGCAACGAATATCAAAGTGTCATAAAAATATTCGACAAATAAGAGTACTCATTTAGAGTAATAAAATTAAATTTAAAAATGAAATAAATGTACAATCAGAGTTTTTTTAAAAATTTTTTTAGTATCTTCAATTTACAGATTTTACTTCCCATTTTTTTACATTTTGGTACTGATAATAATTTTTGCATTTTTCAAGCCAACTTTCACTCGTTGCAGCTGAAAGGGGCGAACATGTATCAAAAAGACAGTAACAAATTGTCATTATACGCTAAATAACGTTTAAAACAAGTCCAAGAACATTAAAAAATGTTAATTGGCTTTGGAGAAATTAAAAAATTGAGTAAAACTTGTAAAATCTACATTTTCTTATATATCTAGTAGAAATCTACATTTTTTTACATATCTAGTACAAAACATAACATAACCTCTTCAAATTAGAAGTCATTTTTTTTATAATTTCATCAGCCTTTAAGAAAAAAATGGAAAAAATTTGTTTTTTATCTTCTACGTTTAACGCATTTCTTCACTCATGAAAAAAGGGGTGCGCGCAACATGAGATAATAAAGAAAAAATTTCTAATAAGGGAACTGGAATTATTTCTGTAACGTCAAAACTTGTGCTAAGTAATTCATCAACAATATGTCCTCATGAGATCATTCATATAAAAGAATATTAATTTAAAGCAAAAAATAATTTCCAGTTGATTTTCTAATTAAAGAATCTTACTGTAACAACCGCAATACAAGCAACGTGACTTCCAGTATTTTTATAAAAAAATTTATTTTCAACTTCTTAGTATACATAATATAACCTATTGAAAAGCACTATATTTTTATTGTCTCGTAACCACACGAAAACATTCAAGAAAATAATAGATATTTGTGAAAAAGTGCTGGCAGTGTAATATTAAGGTTAGGGTGAATTTGAAGCACGTGGAATCCATTATAATTATAAGAAAGCAGGAATTTAGTTTGTAAAAAAATATAATTATAATCATACTTACGAATCATTTTTTTCCGCCATAATTCTCCTATGTAAATTTTGACACTCACTAAAATTTATGTTATTTAAAACATTGCTATTTACCAAGCACGTACGTCAGTTGCACAAAGAAATTTCAAAATAGCAAATCACAAGCGTGATAAAAAGGAGGAACGCAGGAGGAAGCGGTTAAAGGCCAACGCACAACTAATTCTTGAACGGGAAAACAAACGGAATGGAATGAGTAAGAGAAGGACAAACATTATGTCTATCCTTCTTTTACTCATTCCATTACGTTTGCGTTCCCGTTCAAAAATTAGTTCTGCTTAAAGGCCTTTCTCCAATGGATCCTAAACTCTTGCGTTGCGTATTCATTGCGTCGGTTGCTATTGGCAACCAATGCTAAAATCAACGCGTCAGTCACGCAACGCAAAAGTTTAGGTTCCTATTGGAGAAAGGCCTTTAGGCCTTGACGGTTATTATTATTAAGAACCAATATAGGCTAGTTTCAATAAGGGCCTAAGCACAATATTTCGAAAAGTGTCAGATTAAGAATGCTCCACTGTAAAGATGGGTTGCGAACCTCCCTTAAAGTAACTTTACCTTGTGGCCACCATGTGCACTGTGACCGTACCCTTAATTTGGCAACATTTTCAAATGACGCACATTCTTTCTTTCTCTCGTTTATAACGACGTAAAAGGTGTGATTTTTACTGTGATTTTCAATCAATTGTAATCCGCATTTCAATTTGTGCTTTCTGTTTTTTTTTGCTTTTTATGCTTTCGCGAAATGTCGTCCAACGCCAAAAAGCAAAGATTAGGTGGTAAAAATGAAATTATTTCGCACGCCTATGTCACATACATAAGTGACAGCAAAAAAGAAATTATTGAGATTGATCGAATTAGACAATTTGATTGTGAAAGAAAAGAAGATTTCCAAGATACCGGAAAGGCAGTGTATGAAGTTGAATGGTTTGACGAAGAGGAGAAGGAATGGTATTTGTTTAATGCTGTGGTGCATTATGTTGGCTGTAAGTATTTACTTAAAAATCAAATCTTAACCTATATGATATTATATTATTATTATTGCGCGGTTGCTTCTCAAGTTGCCTTTGAATGTAAAATACATTTATGTTGAAGAAAATAAAATTATAACTAATGAAACTATAATAGTTCATGTTGTTTAAATAATTATACAATAATTTATACAAATCTAAAACCTCCAAATGCACATTAGGCTGGTTCTATTTAAATTCATGCAGGCTGAATAGGTTCAAAATAATAAATAATGTATATCATTGTATTTTTTATTTTTTATATTAGGATAAATAAAGACACTAATTTTTTTGTTATGAGAAAAAATTTTTTTTATGATTTACGAGTATTCAAAAATTTACGGCAAAAAAAGGTTTTTGAGCAAAACAGCTGACATTGTTTTAAAAATCTTTATAATTTTTTCAAAAATTAATATTTTTTAATTCTGTATTCTGATTTTATTAGTGTCTTTGATGCTCTTTCTTTGCAAATTTAAAATATTTTAATTTTTAAAAATTAAGAAAATAGCGATCATTTTTTAAAAAATAAAGAACTCGATTTTTTCTAAAACATCATTTTTTATTATTTTCTTGAATACTTGTTGTATCTGGATACCAGATAAAAAACTAACTTTTTTCAATAATTTTTTCTTCTCAAAATAACAAGAGTAATAATTTAGGGTAGTGTAGCGCCATATGTTACTCATATACATATATTCTGTTTTTGTTAATTTTAGCAGTGTTTTCGAAACTCTTTCTTTGCAAAGTTGAAAATTACAAAAATTTTGAAAATTAACAAAATAGCGGATATTATTCGAAGTGCTTCTAAGTTCGCAAATTTTTTTTGCAATACAAAAAATACGTGTCTTTTTATTTGTCCTAAAGAACAATGAAAAAATGAAGGAATTGAAACAAAATCAGTTATTATTCAAACAAATTGAAGCAATAAATGTAATATCTGAAATTTTCTATTATTACGTCCGGCATAGATTTTACCCACCTGTCAGAATTTCAGCTATTGGAAACAGTTTTATATGTAGGTTTCTACTAGAAAGACAAACTCTTTATATTACAAAGACACATCATTGTTAAGAAATTTAGTTCACTCAATATTCAAATAATTATTCTCGTTAAATGAAACATTTCAACAAATTATTATTATTACATCTGACATTTTGAAATTTAAAAATATGACCACGGATTTGCATTCATCGACTTCAAAAATTCACAAGTAACAAATTTCAAGCTATACAGAACATTTTCAAATTTTTGTGCAATATTGGCTTCGCTAATTGTTTTCTCAAAAATTTCTTTTAGTCTAATATTATATTTGTCAAATTTTTTATCCTATGTTAATATATTTTTTAAAATTTTGAATTTGGTGACCATTTTTAACCTGATATCTTGAGTTTTTAAAAATACATTTTACCATATCTTTTAATTTGAACATTTTTAAAATCATATTTGGGAGTTTTACGCACATATCTGAATACTAAATAACTTTAATTTAAAAATATCCACTTTAAAAAAATGTTTAAACCTTGTTTCTTTACAAAGAAATTGTAGATTCTGAAAGAGGGATATGTAAAAAAGTTAATGGTACTTCTCAAATTTTTTTATTCGAAACCGTTTTTTATTTAGAATATTATAATAAATTTTAATTAATTAAACAACTTCAATAGAGTCCAAAAAGGCATAACAGTCTGACAGAACGTTTAAAGCATTAAAGGCAATTTTTTGGCACCTATCAGTTTCAGGGTTATATTTTTTACGAGGTAAAAACGTACCTGCTTTAAAAAATACATAAAAATACATTTCAATTTTTTATAGACAGTGAAGATGATGTTGCAAATCAAGTGGAAGAGGGTATGGCTTCAAATCGTCGTTTGAAAATACCGACTGAAAAGATGTTGTCTGTCTTATCTCAAGGCAAAGAGAGTAATGAACCGAGGAAGAAGGAGGATAAAGTAAATTTCTTTTAATTCTAATTGAATATAAATAAGTAAAATTTTCTTTAAAAGAATTATTCCATTAAATTTTGATCATAATCGTTCTTGATTAAAGGCACAAAACACCCTATTTTTTCCCAGTATATCGGAAACTAGAAAACGTATTTTGTTGCCCAAATGCATAGATTTTGTACTTTAGTGAAAATCTCTAAATAGAAATTACTAAATCACAATCTAAACCACGCGGGTGATTTACCTTGCAAGGTGTGCAAGCTTACACGGCAAACTTGTGGCAAGTTTGTTGCAAGCAATAAAATGTCCTATTGCTGCAAGTTTGTGGTAAGCTTACTCGTCAAACTTGCTGCAAGTTTTGAGTGTAAATTTGTTGCAAGCTTGCCGCGCAAGTACAATTTTTTCAGAGATACGACGACTTATATTTCCAAACCCTGGCGGATTGCGACCGGTTTCGATTGACACTCGGTTGCGTTTCAGTTGCAAACTCAAGAAAAACGTGAAAATTGATGGAAAAAAATATTGCAGGAATAAACTCTTGAATTAAATATTTATTCATTCTAATAGTTTTTACTATACATTTTCACGTTTTTCGTAAGATTTTTCACTAGAAACTGAAACGTAACCTAGTTGCAATCGAAACCGGCCGAAATCCGATTATTATCCAAATGTTTCTAATATTTAAACTGGTAAAAATTTAATTGTGATAAAAACGAAAGAGTGCAGAAAAATTTGTCAAATTTATTCTTTCTTTATATCCTTGACGTTAGTGACCGATCATTATAATATTTTAGGTAATTTAAAAGGCTTTTTCAAATGACCGAAAAACCTTTTAAATTACCTAAAATATTCTATTTTTTCTGCTTTATAGGAGTTAAAAAATTCTATCATATACATTCATTTTCATGAAAATAACTTCTGTCAACACCAAATTAAGACATCACAAAATCCACATTTGTAGACGCCATAAAATGATATTTTAAATTTCATCACCCACATATTTATAAACCCATAAGTAAAAAAGTTTTAAAAAAGGCATAACTGATTATTTATTATTACTTACATATTTATCAATTGTGAGATTTTAGAGGAAATCCCTCACTTTTTTGGCATTCGGTCGTCTTTGAAAGTTTATGATTAGTTATAATTTATTTATTGAGTTAAAATAAAATTTGTTTTTACGAAAGTGTACATGAGGATTTTGTTGAAAGGTATAGAGACGGATAGTGTCCTGTAGTGTGTAAAAAAGTTATTTATAAAATACTAAAATCAAGAGGGGAATCCCTCAATAAGTACGTAATAGAGGGTTAAAATTTATTGAAATCAATTATAGACTAAAAAATCTGAATATTTGCTTTTATTTGTCTTTTAGAGGGTAAAGTTGCAAGCTGCTGCAAAAAAATCCACTAAGGAGGAAATATTTAAAAAATATAAAAGAGATTTGTTATTAAAAGGAAGACAAAGACTTACGAGCGACAATAATCAAGATGCCAAAATCGCGAAAAAAACCAATGATCCAAGTGCAAATGAAAAAGATAGTGGAAGTGAAGATGATTTTGGAAATGAAGATGGCACTGGCAGTAAAACTGATTCTGAAAGGAATGTTAATACTGAAAATATAGCTGATACTGGAAGGAAGGCTGATACTGGAAGGAAGGCTGATACTGGAAGGAAGGCTGATACTGGAAGGAAGGCTGATACTGAAAGTGAAGCTGATACTGGAAGGAAGGCTGATAGTGGAAGGAAGGCTGATACTGGAAGGAAGGCTGATACTGGAAGGAAGGCTGATACTGGAAGGAAGGCTGATACTGGAAGGAAGGCTGATACTGAAAGTGAAGCTGATACTGGAAGGAAGGCTGATACTGGAAGTAAAGATGATACTCGAAGAAAAGTTACTACTGGAAGTAAAGATGATAACGGAAATCAAAGTGATAATGGAAATCAAAGTGATGATGGAAATCAAAGTGATAATGGAAATCAAAGTGATAATGGAAATCAAACTGATAATGAAAGTCAAAGTGATCATGGAAGTGTAGATGAGGAAGAAACGATGAGTAATTCTGAAAGGGAAGAACCTCAGCAACAAGGCACTCCGAGAAAGAAGCAATTTCGCATTTACAATGAAAAGGTATGTAAGGAAAAAGTTTCATCACAAAAAAGTATGATTTAAAAAATGAGTCTGGCCTATTAGTAGAAGAAATTCTTTAAATAAAAAAAAATTAAGTTCATTTTTTACTGGAAAATTCATGGAATTTCCTGTATTTTTCTGGAATTTTAAGAAAAACTTATTTTATTTCCAAATTTGAAGACAATAATATTCGTACTGCTTAATATTACTATCTCCTAATAGTACTCTAAATCTGAATAAGTGAAATTTCACATATTCCATATTATGATTCGTTCTCTCGTTCAATAAGTGTCTAGGGTCAGTTGGCATAAATAGAAACAAGATGTAAATCGAAACTGTAGTTATTTCAGTTAAATGAAACTTTTTAAAAATAAATACGGCCTTAAACCATGAACCCTAGATCACCCCCAATAGTTTCCAAGTATTCTTCCATTTTCCGTTTGTTAGTGAGCAGCAGTATATACAAAAATATTTCCTGTTGCATAAAAAATTGAAAATCAAAGAAGACACCCTCTCACTTTTTTCACTCGCATTTGGAAAAAAATAAACTAAAATTTTATATTATTATTCACAGTTATCTCTTATTAATTTTACAACAGAAATTAACTCTGATTTTGCAAAATTTAATTGAAAATACGAGACTTTATCTATTTACCCCTAAAAATTGGAAAGTCGGGGTAAATAGAAACAGAAATTTCAGCGACATTAAAAAATATAAAAATTATAATATTATTGTATAAAAATTTGAACAGATTTATGTAAAACTTGTCAAAGTTAATAAAATTTTTATTTGTGCAATGCGTTTCAACTTTTATCATTGTTTATTTTTAAACTTATGCAATGCATTGTTATTTATTAGTTTGAATTATTTTATCAATAGCTCCATTTTTTATGTAATTGTTTGTATCTTTTAGCATTTGCATACTTGAAATTGATTTTTTCTTAAATTTTGTAAGAAATAATTACTGTTTCAAATTTATTTTTGAAGTTTAACAAAGTTGAAAAACTTAGGGGTAAATAGAAACAGTTGATTATTGCTATTTAATGATACCCATATTTTCTACTACCCAATAAAATTGTTTTACAAAAGTGAAATAATAACTCAATACACAAAAAAAACCGAATGTATCACGATTTAAAAGAAAAAACTTATGTTATTGGTGAAACTTAGCAAATCTGTTTCTATTTACCCCAACTGACCCTATGTACTTTTAATATGTTAATTTTTCACTTGTTTTGATAAAAATGTCACTTATTTCACGTGCGTATGCACTTACTGAACGCGAAAACGACTTATAACATCGAATATATGAAAGTTTACATATTCAAATTTAGAAATTATGTTATTTGTATTTATTTCTTACATTTATCTTATTTCTCAATTTTAAATTAAGTACAAATAATAGTTTTTCGTGAGATTTTTCACCAGCAATTGAAACGCAACCGAATCGCAACCGAAACCGGTCACCAAACGTTTGAGCTTGTACCACTAACTACTCTCATTTACTGGAAGAAGCACGATTATTTGTGGACGTCCGAGTGAAAGGTACCACTTTGTCTGTTTGGATTTATCTATATGGTCAAATTCCTTGTTAAATTTGGAAATTTTTGAGGGGTCTTACGTTCATTTTGGTACAAAATTCACTGAGTTACAGAATTTTTAAATTTAGAGTGCCAAAAACCCCATTTCGAGAAAAACGAAATCAAAGATTGTAATGCAAATATCTCTGGTTCTTTTGGGAAATTATTCAGATGAGAGTTGTTTTAATTCAAGAATACCTTAAAGATGAAAAATCAATAGGTTTAGAATTTTTCCACCCTCTCCATTTTCAAAATAATGGATAACCGACAAAGTGGTACCTTTTCTAAAAATGCTATTTTTAATTAATAAACAGAATTTTTTTTAAGTTAACAGTTGTGTGTTACTTAATTGAATTATTTGAAGAAAAAAAAGAAAAAGTAGACAAAAAAAGTTTTTAATTAACTTTTTTATGAATAATCTTAAGAAATATCGAAATTTTCAGTTCCAGAAAAAAGAAATTGAAGATATATTTATTTATTATATATCAAGTATATTTTCTATATGTTTAAAGTAAATTAACTAGATATGTGCATGTAAAAATATATTTCCAGCTGAAGTGTTGCAATAAACTGCCGGAAACAACAGAAATTTACAACTTTCGCAATAGACCGACAAATTGGTACCTTATCTCTTTTTTTCAAACAATGAAATATAATACTTAAAGTAGCCATAAATTTATGAAAACTACATAATTCGACACGTAGTACCATGTAGATTAATAAACAAAAATATTTAAAAATTCGAGATTTTCCTAAGAAATTAGTAAATCGCGAAAATCTCGGAATCTAGAACCGACAAAGTGGTACCTTTTTATTCGGACGTCCACATTTTTAAATGTTTTAATAATAAATTGAAAACGGTATATGAAGAAATATTTTTAAAAATTTTATTGAATAGAGTTTTTCATTTAATTCATGATTATAATTATTGCAGCCCTGACACATGCTAGACAATTTTTTTATATCTATTTGTGCTATTTTTTCATACAGATTTATGTAAATGAAAAAGTCTCATTTACAAAAGAAGAATGGGATAAGATTGATTCCGAAAAAAAAGAAACAATGATGGTGAGAACAGCGGCCAGGATTATTTGGAAAGGAGATCTTTCTTCCAAATGCTTGAATGTCGATAGAGCTCAACCTCGGAGCGGCGGAAAAACTCGCACTGTGTGCGAACCGAGAAAATTGGAAGCTATTCAAGGTTTTTTATTTTTATAATTATTGCTTTTTTTCTAATTTACAATTTGATAATAAAGAAGTTTTACCTACGTCATATAATTTGGTTAAACTTGGGATAATGGGAACCTTTAAATTTTGAGTAATTAGAGACGTTCGATTTTTGCGGGAAAAACTCGAAAGACTTTTCTGCCGTGCAAAACTCAAAAACCGTAACTTCATTTTCGAAATTATTTTTCCTTATTTTTGCAAAATAACATTTTAGAAAGATTTGCAGCAACAATGAACGAAAATGTATTTTCGGCGTTTTCTTCATACAATTAACTATTTTGTTCAGGCATCAAAATAATAGTTGTATTAATAATATATCACGTATTTGCAATTATACGTTCAAAAGCAAATGTATTTTTTCTTATATAATGTTTAGTCGATTTTATTGCATTGCTATTGAAATAAAAACTGCTCCCTTGAATTAAAAGCAGTGTTATAGGATTAATTGAATATCAGTTTAAGTAAACGACATTTACTTTCGAACGTACATGAATATACGACATATAGAATCAATAGCATTTTTTTCTCAGTGTGGACGGTATTGTATAACTTTTATATTTTCTATCACGACATTTAATGCAAAATAAAAGTATGTTTTTTTCTATGACTAGATATCATTAAAAGAAGGTTGGAATTTAGGGGGAAAGAAACGCACAAAGATCGCATAAAATCATTCGTCAGAACTAATATGACATCCCTATTAAACGACAGTAACAAGACGGTGTTATCAAGCACAGAAAGGAGAGAACTCATTAAAATACGAGATGAAAGACGAGGTAATCAAAGAAATAATTATAAATTATTATGTAATTCAGGTTGTCTAGCGAAACACGATTTCAAAATTCCCGGCAAATTCACGGATTTCCCGAATCTTAAGTCAAATTTTTCCCTGATTCTTTTTTAATGATTAATAGCTGTTTCTTATTAAAATATTAATTATTTGGAAAGATACAATATAATTTGTTTTTAAGTTTACAAAACAATTACATACAATATACAGTTCCGGTCAGAATTGAAAGACCACCCATTTTCAGGTGTATGAAAAACATTTTAAAACATGAAATTTATGAAAACTAAAATTTTTTTTTAGTTTTTTTGGACAATGATTTTGAAAGATTTTTTTAACAGATGTTAAAAATTTGAAACAAACAAGACCTTACAGAAGTCATTTGGCCAATATTTTATTTAGATATTTTTGAGAAATCGTATTTCTCAATGTTTTACAAAAGTTTGTATAACTTCTAAAATAATGAACGCTTTTTTTATTTTTAGGTTTATTTTAAAGGTCATTTTCTATTTAATAAGAATTTCTTATAGGCATTAATGTGTAATATTTTTCTTAGAAAATACAGGTCGTCAAAGTTAGACAAAAAAAATTTGAAAAATTTGAAATCATTTTATCAACAGAAAAATTGTTTTTAAAATTCCAACATATTTATTTTATTCAATTCCCTTGAAAAATCTAAACCATATCCTGTTTTATATATTTTCTAGAATGGTTTTTAGAAGTTATACAAATTTTTATAAAAGATTAACGGTTTTTTAAAAATATCTTAATAAAATATTGGCCAAATGACTTGTGTAAGATCTTATTCTTTTCAAAATTTTATGATCTTTCACAAAATAAAAAGAAAAAAATTTTATTTTCCATAAATTTTATGTTTTTAAATGTTTTTCATTCACCTGAAAATGGATTGTCTCTCAATTTTGACCGGTAGTTTATGTAAAAACAAATAAACATGAATAGGACAATTATCCCATAATACTATTTTTAATCATATAGAATTGCGTTAAATTCTCTGATTGAAATGTTCTGAATATTTTAACGAATTAGTAGAAATTTTTAGAAACTCCCGGCAATTTCTCGGGGGTTTCCCGGTGAAACTAAAATCCTGGCAAATTTCCGGTTTTCCCGAAATTCCCGGTCGCTAGACACCCTCTATTTATAATTATCTTTTAAAGCAAATATTTCCAGATTACTGTTAGTTTATTATATTTCATCTACTTTTTCAACTTAAATCAAAAGAATTTTTTATAATTCAGAACTCTTTTTTTAATAATATTTATTAAAATTTTACCAAAGATATTATTTTTTTGATTATAAAAATTACTTTTATGATAATTTAGTACTTAAAATTTAATTTGAAAAAGTGTTTTTTCGAATCCGTTAATTAAATCATAATTGTGATTTAGTTTTAAATATTATCAAATTAATACATTTAGAGTACTTAAAAGGAGAGTTGAGACGGTTGCGCAGATAACACGTAAGCTTGCGGCAAGCTTGTCTGAGATAGCAAAATGTCTAATGCAAGGTAAGCTTGCAATGTAAGGTTCCTGCAATCTTGACATGAAGGATTGCTACAAGATTGCAAGGATGATTGCTGCAAGGTTTTTGTAAGCTTGTAGCAAACTTGTTGCAAGTTTTCAAAAATCTTTTTAATTTTAAAAAATAATTTTTATAACCTCTTTGAAATTAACATTTATTAATTGTGTCCTATTTGCTCCACTTGGACACTTAACATTAATGAGAAATTTTTGTAACAAAATTTGAAGAGACTGAAATCAAACCTGGGATTCGACGGACGCTGGCCAAACACCTTAACCGATAACCTAAACAACAAACTATCAGAGAAAAACAAAATCTTGGCCTTAAGCAAAAGTGATCTTAGAGATTGAAAAAGAAATGTATAATTTCTATATTTGCAGACAGTTCGTTGTTTAACGTATCGGTTAGGGTTTTTGGCTAGCATCCGTCGAATCCTGGGTTCGATTCCAGCCTCTTCAAATTTGTTTCCAAAAATTACCCTGGAATATTAAGTTTTCAAGTCGAACAAATAGGACATAGGGTAAATGAGGGTATTACGGTAGGCGGTGGGTGCATGAGTTATCGCGGTTTAGCTTTTTTGCCAAATTTTATCATTTATGTTCCAATTTTTTAACCCACAAAATTCAGATAGTTAGTTTCATATGGTAAGTGTTTAATAAACAAAAAATATTAGTCATTTAATTATATTTCTGGGCTTAAAAGTTTCTAAATCTCTGAGGAGCGAAATGTTTGATAAGAATTATTGACATCTGATTTCGATGAGGTTAGTCTGAACCAATCACATTCGAAGGGTCATCTATCTCAACTGTTCTTACAATTACTCTAAATACAATAAATTTGAAGTATTATTGGAAAATTTTAAGATTATTTTAAATAAAAATTGCAATGTTTCAGTTTAATATTTTCAAATAGAATATTAAGCAATTCTTATTTTCTCTTACAGGACTAAACAGGAATGAGCCATAAGAGTTTAAAGACTCCATTTTAAAGTTTACTTATCTTTTTTAAAAAATATTTTTGTTTTTATTTATTTGCTGAAAGAAGTTTTATACGTTTAAAATGGTCGGTTTCAGGCTTATTGTGTAACCTGAAAACTATTCATTTTCATGGCATTAAAAAATGTAAGCCTGTCAGCACGCATGCCCTGCGTTTACACGCATAAGATAGTTTGAAAAAGAGAAAATTTAACTGTCTGTATAAAGCCAAAATTCATTTGATGTTCACCCTTTATATTTAAATGTCATAAAAGTATAGCAGACAGACCAGTAAACCTCTGCTAATGATGTATCAGACCTAATGTTAAACGTACAGATTTTGTTAAATAAGCAAACGATCAGTATTTACAAGTACCAAAAAAATTTTGTAAGTACTTATAATTTTATATAATTATTTAATTTTAAGATTAAACATTACTTGTTTGTAACCACACGAAAGTGGCTAAAGCGTGTTGCAATTTAAAAAATAAAATGTTGTATTTTGTAATTATTATTTTTATTATTATTATTATCATTATTAATTGATTTGTTTTAAAATGGTATCAGTTTGAAGTTGATGAAAAAAAATCGAAATGTTTTTTGTTATTTACAGTAGTTAAGCAACAAAAAATTTTTTTCCATAATTCAACTTTTAGATATTGTAAAGATACAGGTTATAATCTTTTAAAAAAGTCATTGTTTGTCTCTCTATCGTAGTTTAGTTCTATTTATTATGCACAAGTCTACTTCAAATTATTAATGCACATTTTAATAGTAAGATTATTTTTAGAAAATTAAAAATCTTTAAACTACTACTAAAGGAAGATATAGATATACATTAGATATTAGATATCCCACAAAAGTTCTTTATTTGCAGGTTGTTTATGCATACACAGAACCTGTGTAAAATAGCACACATTTCGAATAACATCATACAATGGGTTCTCATTTGCATGTTTATATAGTAACCTGCTATGCAAGAATTTATAAGATCCCGTATACGATCACACAAGGGTTCCTATTTGTAAGTTGTTTATATGTGAACCTGTACTAGAACTCATACGAGATCTCATATAGGTTCACACACGAGATTTTTTAGCCGGCAATTCACACATGAACCTATGTAGGAACACATACATTTGATATAGGATCTCACAACGGTTCCTATTTGTAGATTGTTTACATGGGAACCTGTGCAAGAGCTCATACGAGATCTCATATAGGTTCATGCACGAGATTTTTTCAGCCTGCAATTCACACATGAACTTATGTAGGAACACATACATTTTTTATATAGGATCTCACAAATGTTCTCATGTTGTTTATGTGTGAACCTGTACAGGGACTCATGCAGGATCTCCGATAGGATCACATAAGAGTTCCTATGTGTAGGGTTGTTGACATAGGATCTTATGTAGGAACTTACATGGGATCATGTGTTGTTTGCCTTCTCAAAGACATAGGATCTGTCGTCAGATCTCACACAAGTTCATCCTAGGATCTTATATACAAAAGATCATATATGGGAACTCAGGTAGGAACTCACATAAGAACTCATGAGGGTTCGTGGATGGGATCCCATATGTGTTCTCACATGGGAATTTTCAACAGGGTAGAATATATTGAATATGGGCAAATCCACGAAACTTTTAATTTTTGTGATTCTTGAATCGAACACTTAAAAATCTGAATTATTTTTAATTAAAACTTTGGGTATCATTTTTTTTGCTAAATTATATAGAAAGGAACATTTACGTACAGTATTAGAACAAAATACTTATTTGACCATTAGTTTTATAAGTTAAAAAGTGAAAAAATGATTAAATTTAATTTGAATTTCTTGAAAAAGTTTATATTCTTATACGAATACGAAGGTTTGATTGAGCCTCTAATAGTATTCCTGTGGCAACAATTTAAAATTTTATTTAAATTTATACATTTTTGAAAGGCACAACTGCATTTTTGCTTTAAACAGGTCAATCTATGCTGTGATCGAAACATTTTCATACATATATTTGAACACAAAAACGCCGCTTAAGGATTTTGAGTGAAATAAATTTTATTAAGTTAAGAATATGCTGAAAACACTTTTTTGGAGTCTTTACCCCTTCTTTTCTCAAAATCCTGATGTGCTAAACAAATTTGGGTGCCAGAATCGTGTTCAGAGCACGATAATACTTTGGGAACCACTCCGATATCAAAAATAAAAAAAAGTTGAATTTTTCAATTTTATATGTAATTTATTAACATTAAAGAGTTTAAAGAGTTAAACATTGACGGCGTGAGCTAAAAATGAATCACGCATATGAATTTGTAGTGCTAAAATGTACTTAAGGCCAGGTCCAAGTCGTGTCAGCTGTTCCATTGAAACTTCAAAGGAACAGCTGACTCGACTTGGACCTGGCCTTAAACGTGAATACAAAGTGACATAAATGTGCCTGCAAATTGAAAAAAAAAATTTTTTTTCTTAAAAGTTTCGTGGATTTCCCCATTTACTCTTTTGAATTCTGCAATAAAAAATGTATAATTATAATATTATAATAGCGAACATTGACGTCTTTAAAAAAATATTTCAAATAATTGCTTGCTTAAAATAATTTAATTTCACTTTTTTTTCATTATTCTCAAAACTAACATTTTATAGTTAGATCCCTCTTCGACGCGCGGCTTCAATTCTTAAAATCATTTATTTTCAATGTAGGAGTGAAGGGTATAAAATAGAAATTGTCAATTAATGATTCGGATTAAATAATTCGATCGACACATGAAGTAAAGTCCCCTCTGTCAGATAGCTATAATTTTAATTAAAATTGATTAATTATCTAATTTAGAAAATATAAGATATTTAATTAAATCATTCGTAGATAAAATGTTTTTAGAGTGGCAAAAACGTCTTTATTTCAAAAATGTTTATAAAACTTTGTCTGAGAAAAAATATAAGCTTCAAAGTACGTTTTAAAAACGTTTCTAGATGATTTACTTTCATGAAAGAGTTAATGTTTTTAAAATGTATTACGATATATTACCAGAATTTGAATCATCTCCATCTTCTTCATCATCAGTGCCAGATAACGTAGCAGCATGAGATGCTTTATCAGTTTCCAATTCTATATTATAATTATAGGTTAATAATTTTTTGATTTAAAAAATTATAAATAACTCTAAATCTAAATTAAGTAATAATTAAAGTTTATTATCCTTAAGTCCATTTAATTTCATTGTGGGAGTGAAAGGTATAAAATAGAAATTGTCAATTGTTGTCTCCTACAGTACTTTGATAGGCCATCGCTGTGCATGCTAGGTATGCTGAGTTCTTAACTGCTACTACCACATCGACTTTAGTCTGTTTTTAGGGTTTCGTTGCCGAGGGCCGAAAGCCTTATAGTTTCACTTTGGTGTCTGTCTGTCCGTCCGTCGTTATCATATAGTTGCCATGGTAACAGATACCATAGCGACCGTCCATCCATCAGTCCGTCGTACACTCGTATGGTTGCCATGGTAACCGTTCTCATGGCAACCGATTTCATAGCAACCATTGCAATTCACAGATAATATAAATATAAGTTATTGCATACAAATAACTTTTAATATAAATTTAAAAAGTCAAGAAACCCTAGATGTAGGCGCTTTGAGCCTGCTTCTTTTCCTGATTTTTTTATTTATCGTGAAATATATTAATAAACTACTACTCTTTTAGTTCATAGGATTCTCTTAAAAATCATTATTTTTGAGGGTTATCGAAATCGCTGATTACGAAAATGACATTAGATTTTTAAAATTCGAAATGCTGGAAGAATTTTTTAAAAATTTTGAGTTGATTGAATGTTCTTTTAGGGGATTTTTGTGTCACTAATTACGAATCTGATATACAGTTATTAAAAATTTTAATTTTAATGGTAGATTTAATATGGTTGACAAAATTAAAATTCACCGGGTTCACTTAACCTCTAGATTGTTAGGAAAAAAAAGATACTGACCAAGAATTTCGAGAAATAGAAATATATATGTAGTTTACTATATTATACACTACCGTCCGAAATTGTGCGAACTCTGCTTTTTCAACAACTATAAAACTGTTCAAATCTTCAAAAATATTAAAACTAAAATTTTTTCCTCTTTATTTTATTAAAGCTAATAAAATTCTGAAAGAAATGACACCTTGACAAAGACAATATGTTAATTTTTCAATTAGATATCTAAGAAAAACCCAATTTTCAATGTTTTTACTATTTTTTTTATTTCTCTGGCAAAAATTAATATTTTTAATCGTTCTTAGGCTCATTGAAATCGTATTTTGTTATGCAATTCAAATTATATAAAACAATTCATGTACACATTCTTCCCTAGCGTATGCAAACCGTGAAAGTTGGCTCATAAAATGTCAAAAAATTTAAATTTAATTCTACAATAAAATATAATGTTTAAAAATCAAGTAAATATATCATTCTAAACTTCTCTGATTTATGTAAGTAAATTTAAGATTTATACATTTTACTGATCATTTTTTGTCATATAAATATTAATCACAATTTTTTGACATTTTATGAGCCAACTTTCAGGGTTTGCATACGCTAGCGAAGAATGTGTACATGAATTGTTTTATATAATTTGAATTGCATAACAAAATACGATTTCAATGAGCCTAAGAACGTTTAAAAATATTAATTTTTGCCAGAGAAATAAAAAAAATTGTAAAAACATTGAAAATTGGGTTTTTCTTAGATATCTAATTGAAAAATTAACATATTCTCTTTGTCAAGGTGTCATTTCTTTCAGAATTTTATTAGCTTTAATAAAATAAAGAGGAAAAAATTTTAGATTTAATATTTTTGAAGATTTGAACAGTTTTATAGTTGTTGAAAAAGCAGAGTTCGCACAATTTCGGACGGTAGTGTATATATTACTATATTACAGAAAACTCCTTGACAGATTTTAATAAATAATGACTTGTTTTATTAATCCCTCTTCTATTTGAACCAAAAAATTTCGAAAAACATTTTTTACCTAGCACGAATTAAAATCAATTAATCTGTTTGGGATTTTACTGTAAAATATATTATTGTATTGGAACCGATCTTGGAGGTAGCATAAATAAAATTGGAAAGTCGACTTTTTTACGTACACCCTAAAGCCTACGTGACACGTATAAATCTCATCTGCATACACTAGGGGCCAAAACTAATACTTTTTCTGTCTGTGTCTTTTATTAATAGAATACCCGAATCTGGATTGCCTTTTTGTGCATAGTACTTTACTTTGGAATTTTTATTTGTTGTTATTATTAATACTATTATTACTATTATCATTATTCTTATATTTTCTATTAATTAATAAAGAACAGTATCCTTCTTGAAACAGTCACAAGTCTATGGGATATTCTACTTACAG